ACACTGGGTGTGGCCTTGGGAGCACCGAGGAGGGCGGTGGCTCTGTCACGGGGCCCCTGAGAGGCTGGGAAGAGCCGCTGGCCTTCCCCTGTAGCAGGGCACCCCGCGGAGTGGGGACGACTGGTGGCTGGGGACACCCAGTATCCGGCCGGCTCCTGGGGTTTCCCCAGGCCCCGCCTCCGTTGGGACTTGGTGACTGGGCCCGAGTCTAAGCGCAGACTCAGCCTCTGCCCTGCCCTTCACCTCCTGGCGCTCCCGGGTTTCTCACCTGGGAAATAGGCATGGTAGTGATGCCAAGGTCCTGGGGCGGACGGGAGGCTGGGATTCTTGAAATGCCACCAAGAGGACTGGACACGGTGTCCCTGACCACCCACCGTCATTCCTTACACGGTCACCCTTAGGTGTCCTGGAGGGTGGCTGCAGGGCCCCCTCCGATACCGTGACCCACAGAGATTGGGGCTCAGGAGGACCCCTGAGCTCCAGGGAGTCAGATCCTACAGCGTGCCGCACGGTGGGGTGATCTTGGTGCCCAGAGGGACCGGCGGGCCATGCAGGCAGGAGCACAGGGGACCCTGCAGTTGTCATCTGTCACCTTTTGCTTCCCCATGTGACTTGTGCCCTCTCTGCTCCCAACAGCTCAGGGAGACTTTGACCTGGCGGACGCCCTGGATGACCCAGGTAAGTGCCCGTGTTCTCAGTGGGGCTTGGCCTGGTCCCCGCTGGGCCAGGGCTCTGGGGTCAGCTGGGAATCCCTGGGGCTGAGGTTCGCGTTCTCTCCAGGGAGGCCAGCCTCCTCGGGAGACCCACAGGTGCCCTTCTAGAAGTCTCTCTGCAGAGGTCCACTTTGGCCATCGGTTCCGACCCTTGTCTTGCTAGATCGGAGCCTGGGGTCCAGGGATACGGGGGGGACTTTGGCCAGGCACTGGACCCCTGAGCCCCGTCCCCAGCTTAGAAGGGGGAAAATTTATTTGGGGCTCCTGGTGTCCGAGGTCCAGTCCCTGGTGGCCGACTCCATGGCTCTGGCCCAAGGGGAGCAGAACAAGATGGCGGCAGGGCCTGGAGGAGGAGAGCAGCTCAGGACAGGGCACCAGGGAGCAGAGAGAGCT